ATTATAAAAAATAGTTAAAATCATTGAATTTATTTTATTAAATTAGTAAACTTGATTTTATATTAATTATGATATTATAAAAAATAGTTAAAATCATTGAATTTATTTTATTAAATTATCATTGAATTTATTTTATTAAATGATTTATTTTATTAAATGATTTATTTCATCCTCCTTTTCCTTTTTATCTTGGATTTAATATAATAAAATAAATGTTGTTTTGGTAAACTACATTAAATGGTCATTAAAGTTTCAATAAATTTTCATATTCTCAATTAAAGTTTCAAAAGTAATGAAATTGTCACTAATTTTATCGAATTATAACAAATCGGTAACTAACATTATTAATTTATAACAAATTGGTCACTAAAGTTATAATAATTTAAGCTTTACATTTTCCATTCTTTCAATTTGATCCCTATGTATTTTATAATTTATTTAAATTTCAATTTAAAATTTCATATTTATTCAATTTAGTCCTAAATTATATTATTTTAAATGTTATTAATTCTAATTTATCATATTTTGATGATGCAGTTAAAGATAAATTATGATAAATTTATTTTTTAATAATTATAATTTTTATTATTTTTACTTTTATTATTTTTAAAAATTGAATTATGATATATATATATATATATATATATATATATACACACACATAAGGGTGTTCATTTTTTGGTTTTAATCGAATTAACCGACCGAACCGAATTAGTTTACTTAATTCGGTCGGCCACCGAATTAGTTCGGTCGGGGAACGGTTAAGAAATTTTTTAGAATTCAATTAACGATTAATTCAGTTCGAAATCGGTTAATTAATCGAATTAACTGAAATTAAATTTTAAATATATTATATATAACATATGGGCTCAGCCCAAACCATTTAAAACTCAATTAATAATTTAATATTCAATAACTTTTAAACCTAAATCAATATCAATTAATTAAAAAAATCCATATAAAATTTTTATTTTATAATTATATAATATTTAAATTAATTGTAAATTATTTTTTTGAATTAAAAAATATTCAATTTTTATATAAAATAGAAAATTTTAAAAAAATTCGGTTAATTCGAAAATTAGCCGAATTAACAGAAATTTATTCGATTCGGTTAATATTTTCAAAAAAAAGTTCCATTTAGTTAATGGTTAAAGAAAAAAAAAAATTCGGTTAATGGTAATTCGGTTCGATCGGCCTCCGTTTTAACCAAATGAACACCCCTACACACACATCATACATACATGCATATACATATACATGCATCATACATACATAGGGATGGCAAACGAGTACAGTTTCGTGGATTCCGCACCATATCCACTCCAATTGGAGAGGGGATGGGTATAATTTTAGCGGGTAGTGGGCGGGTGTGGATTTATAAAGTGGTACCCGCCCCGCATCCGCCCGCCCCACATCCGCCCGCCCAGCTAAATATCTATTAAATTTTGGACCATTATGAATTTAGGTGTACTTTTAGAGACTAATTTATAAATTTTAATATTATATAATATATAACATATAATTTAACTAAATATTAAGGATATTTAGTCTTTAATCTGGTATTTAATTAGGGAAATATTCGGCTCTTTGATTAAACCCATAATCCCACTAACCACGTCACTTTCCATGTTTTTTAGCCCATGCTGCTCATCCAAACACAAATTAGCCGTACTATAAGCATTAACATCAAAAGCAGCAGTTTCCATGTTCTTTAGCCCCTCAAAACCCATATTAGGCGCACTATGAGCATTAACATCGAAAGCAACACAACAATCCAGCTCTACGACTACATGCTCCCTACAATCTGTCTCCATAACATTCGTAGAGCCACTTCTCTGACAAATTGAAGCATGCGCTGCTACCCCATCACGAACTGTCTGGGAATCAACTCCAACATCTCATTAGTTTGTTGTCAGGCGGGTTTAGATGGGTATGTCGCTAGTGGGTAGTGGGTGTGGGGATGGATTTGAAAATGTACCCGCGTGGGCGGATGTGGATTTGAAAATTTGTAACCATCATGGGTGGTGGGCGGGTGGTGGATTGAAAAATAGTAGGTGGGTATGGGATGGGGGAGGGGGTATCCGCATCCGACCCGCCCCGTTTGCCATCCCTATTAACATACATCATACATATATACTTATATATATATATATATATACATACTTATGTACATACATCATACATATATACTTATGTGTGTGTATATATATATTTGTTTCAATTTGATCCTTGCATATTATTTAATTTATTTAAATTATAATTTATAATTTTATATTTGTTCAATTTAGCCCTTAAAATTATATTATAATATCCAAAATCTTATAAACTTTTGTTCCCTAAGTTTTGAAATGAATGCATTTCAATCCATTTTTATATTAGTTTCAACTTCACATTTACAATTATTTCGATTTGATCCATATGAGTTGTTAATTTATTTAAATTTAAATTTAAATTTGTAATTTCATATGTGTTCAATTTAGTTCTTAAAATTATATTTATATTTGAACTTGGCACATACTTATTTATATTTTTGTAATTTACTTCAAACCCTATAAATCACATAATAAACTTCATTTCAAACTCTATAAATTATATCATAATCTCCAAACCCTATAAACCTTTTTTCACCAACTTTTCAAACGGATGCAATTTAATTCATTTTTATATTAATTTCAACGTCACATTTTATAATTATTTCGATTTGATCCTTCATCCATGTGTGTTGCTTAATTTATTTAAATTTCAGTTTTTAATTTCATGTTTGTTCAATTTAGTCCTTAAAATTATATTTTTATCAAAATTGAACCATAATCATTTATATTTTTTTTATAATTTACTCCAAATCACACACAATTACAAATTACAATTTGATGTTCATGAAAGACAAAAAAATAATTAACCAAAAAATGACCCTACCTGAAGCCAATTTGTACCTGGTAAGATCTGACATGAATTTAGTCTGTCAATGATGTGACCTGATCTGAATGAGATCCGACTTGAAGTCCATACAAACATGAATTAACTTGATATTTAACTGATTCGAACATGAATCGTTTTGATCCGTACTGCAATTAACCGATCTAAACCTAAACTGAATCTGATTTCAAATCAACCTAAAAATGACTCGAACTGATTTGACATGGACCCAACCTAATCCGAGTCGAACCATTAAATTGACTTGACACATCATGTATCCGATTTGACATGACTTGACAATATCCAACTAAAACCTGAATGATTACCTAATTTCACATCCGTACTAAAAAAACACTAAATATATATATATAAAATATTATAAATACTATTAAAAATTTAAAACATATATATGGCAAACTATAAAATAATAAACTATTAAAAAAACATTTGCACTACATTTTTCGCAAGAAAGTGAGGGAGATGAGGATGTCTTTAGTCCCTATTCTCTAGTGAGCAGTATATCATATCATAAACCCTTTTCCAGTTTTCCCCATCAATATAAATCAAAGCTTAAGCTAGATAGAATAAAAAAGTTGAAGAAATTCTTCATCAGTAGTAACGTAGTAATTCCCCTTATTTGTTATGACATTTTAGTATTAAATATATGGGTAAAGTAAACAATTAATGTTGATTTTATTTTATTAAGTCTTCATCTATTAAAAAATAAAAAACAGCCCTTTGACTATAGAACACTACTTTGTTCGGTCATTCGACTATTAAAAGTTATAAAATGATCATCCAACAATTTATATGTTCCAAACACATTCTTTTTCGTTAAAGAATTAGCGACCTTCTAAGTTGGACGTTAACTTGTTGACTGAGATATGATAAAATCTTATCACAAATCGTTTGAGTTGTATTTTATAGATCGAGTCTCCATTTGCATTATGTCGTTCAACCAGTGCTTAAAACAATATGTTTTTGAGCTAGTGTTTGAAAGTAATGGTAGTGCTAGTAAACATCATTAAAATATAATTTTATCAAAACGCAATCATCAAATTAACGTTTAACTTAAACGATTTTTAATTTTTTAACATAAAAGGATGAGTTTGGAACATATGAATAATTGAGTGATCATTTTGTAGCTTTTAATAGTTGAAGGACTCAACAAAATATCATCCTATAGTCGAGGGATCATTTAATAATTGTTAATAGTCAAGAGACTCAATAAAACAACACCCTATATGTTCAAAGATAACTCTCAACCTTTTGACAATGAGCACTCACACCTCTGACATCTATGGTGTTTGATAAATTTTTAATTTTTTTTAAAATTTTTTAAATAATTTATTATTTTATAGTTTGTGATATTTTTTAATTTTTAATAGTAGTTTTTGTATTTTGAATATATATATATATATATATATATATATATAATTTTTAATAATTTAATATTTGTTTTTAATAATTTTTTATATTTAGTTTTTTAAATATTAAAGTTGTTGGATCAAGTTTATTTATTCTATAAATTTAAGTTTAATTTTCACGACCAACTCCTAGTTAAATTATTTGCACTTAAGTTTGAGGTCTAATTTAAAGAGAAATGGCTAATAAATAATCAAAATAAAATCAGGGAATGCTCAAGTAAACTTACGGACCACTCTAATTATACATTAAAATACTTAAATTCAATTCATTTGAATTTAACAATGCTTGAACTGAATCTAAAGTTTTTTTAACAGAATTCAAATAACTTAAAAAGCCTTCATGTGTGGTTAAGAACAGTAACAACATCGTTGATAATCTAAGTACCAAACTTCCGGTTTTATGATAATCTTTCTTAGGTTTATAACATAAATGGTTCTATGCATTATTAGTTTCTGTCAAGAAGGGTAAAATCTTGCGTTCATCATGCAGCAAAAACTGCTGTTTATTTGTTTATTTAGTTCTTCTATCCTTGTAGGTTGTTGAGATTCGACAGAATGGTGTGACACTCATATGCTCTTGTTAACTATAACTGCAGTTCCATTCATAACTGAAAAATGTCATTTCAAATTTATAAAGCAAAATGATATATCCTCATGAATCCACGAAGGCGTTCATGGCTGTCACTCCGTTCCCTCTCGTGCTCCATCTTCGTCCGGGGCAGAAGGATCACCTCCAGTTTCGGGGAGGTTTGTGGGAGGGCGACAGCTGAGGGTGCGGCTATTTGTTGCTGTTTCCCTTTGACGATGGCCAAGTTTTTAGTTTTAGCGATTTACAAGATCCCCGCAGGGCTATTCAGCCGTGCTATCAGTAAGGTGTGTTGGAAATATGAAACTGCAAAATCACACCGTTAGTACTGACAGAAAAGATAAACAGTAATTTAAAAGGAACATATTCGTAAACCGTGTCGTGATAAAATCACTGCATTAGAAACGAATTCGCCCCGATGTGTGTAATCGCTACAATAGGCGGACCGTCCTCCGAGGTTAACACGGTCGCTTCGAATTCCGTACACCCGAAATCGGAGTGGACTGCTGGTGGTATTGCTCTTCTTATCAAAAAACACACAGAGAGAATATATTTAGAAAACACTTGGAGAGTGAATTCTGAAATGTTGATAGTGAAATTAAATTATATAACTCCTGATAACCAGCTGTCATCAGCAGCCTATAAATATCAATTGAAATCTTTCACATTTTTCATTTGTTTCTTTTAAAGAAAAATTCCTCTAAAAAGATAGTTCTCTTTCACTCAATAAGAAAGTGAGAAATTCAAACCATAAATATCCATTTCTAATAGTATTTCTAATATTATGTGGGATTGAGCATTATCAACAAGATGCAAAACAAAGGGTTTGTTGAGCCGTGCAGCCGGAAGGGCGGTTGTGGTTGCGGATGCGATGGTGATAGGGATTTTCAGATTCAGACTGTGGAGAGGGTGGAAAGCTCGGAAGAGAGTCAGAAAGCTGTGAAGGAACTGGAAAAAGAGATGTTGCAGAAGTTTTACGGGAGTGGATTTTGGAGAAGTCCTTCTAATTGTCGATGAAGATAATTAAGAAATTCCATCTTTATTGCACCATTTGTAGCTCATTTTCTGATATCTGGGTATTAATAACTCAACTTTGGGATTTTCTGATATCCAGGTATGAATGAAAATAAATTGAAAATGGATTTTGTTGATGATGATAATAAAACTTGAAGTGCTCATGACTCGTGATTATTAAAGTTTTTATATTTTTTGCTCATTTTCTCTCTCGTTTTCCGGTTTTTTTTTCTGGTTATCCCACGGTCATTTAATTGCTAGTTTTGGTGGTTACATTATAATATTTAAAAATTGGTTAAGAACTTGTTTCCACGTTCGAAGATTTAAAAATAATTTTCGGAAATTTATTTAATTGTTGTAAGCTTCTGAAGGTGTGTCTAATGGAGATAGTTCTGTTCGGTTAAATGATGATTCGATTAGATTTTTATTAAGGACTGAATGTTAAATATTGAAGGTTTAGGGGCAAAGTATGAACATTGAATGTTTTGGTGCCTAAGTGAAAACAATGATGAATTGGAACGATTGACCATTGACTAGTGATGGTGGATTTTGCTTGGGTGTTATTTCGGCTTCGTTGGGCAAATAAGGTAAACGAAAAGAAAATTTAAGAAAATATAGCTATTGGAAAATTAATTTGAATCTAGGTTATTTGCTATAATATTTTTGAAATTTGCATACCCTCGTAATAAGAGTCATACAAATTTCATCTAGTTTATATGACGACTTATATTTTTTTAATATATCTTATAAAATTCATTGTGAGGACATGATGAGTTTTATAAATACTCTAACAAATAGTATATACTTCAAAAATAATTTTTTATTTCTCATCCATAACATTTTCAAAATTTAAGCGTGTTGTTTCCTTATAATTTAGTCCATATTTCCTTTTTATCATTAATTAGAAAAGTAGAAACCTTTTAGGAAGGGTTGCCTCTTATATCAAGAGTTGTTTAATTAAAGAATAATGAAACATTTTGTTTATTTTCTTTAAGTGATCAAACCTCTATGAATAATATGTGATGAATAATTTATCATATCATAAAATGAATATACAAATGGTATATATATATAGCTAAGCACTCTATGTAACTAACTAACCAAATAGTATTCAATTACAAAACTTCCTAATTAATTGTAAACAAACTGAGTTATACTCAACACTCCCCTTCAAGTTGGAGATTGAAAGAAGTCTTTAACCGTCAACTTGAAAAATAAATATTCACACTGATGTGCTCCCAGAGCTTTACTCATCAAGTCCACCAATTGCTCATTTGAACGAACGTGTTCTGTTTGTATGTTGTCATTCTGAATCTTTTCACGAACATAGTGATAGTCTATCTCTATGTGCTTTGTTCTCTCGTGGAAAACCGAATTTACAACTATTTGAAGTGTTGCATTGTTGTTACATTTAAGTTTAGCTACCACCATTCTCTTTTCTCGAAGTTCACTCAGTAACCTTTGTAGTCTTGTTACTTCAGTTGCCGTTACAACCATGCTTCTATATTCTGCCTTAGCTAAAGATCTTGCTACTATATTTTGCTTCTTTAACTTTCAAGAAATAAGTGAATTTCCAAGCTTAATACAAAATTTGGTTACAGATCCTCTGGCCAAGGGACATGCTCCCCAATCCGAGTCACAATATGCAACAATTTGACTTTCACTTGATGCATCAATAAGGATTCCTTGTCCTGGATTTTTTTACATATCGTACTACCCTCATTGCAGCTTCTAGATGCGATTCTTTGGGTTGATGCGTGAATTGACTCAAAAAATGTACAACAAAGGTTGTGTCTGGCCTGATGTAAGATAAATTAATCTTCCCATTAACCTTTGAAAAAAAAGGTCTTATCTTGTAGCACATGATCAACACCTTCATCCACATCTTGACTTTTGTCATGCTCCACTGTGTTTAACTTTTTGTTTTGTTTTAGTGGGGTTGGAGCAAGTTTAGCAGCACCAAAATCCGTGTCTGCTATCAATTCCAGCGCATATTTCCTCTAATTCAAAACGATCCCTTCCTTGGATCTAAGAATTTTGAAACCCAAAAAATACTTCAATTCTCCCAAATCTTTCATTATAAAATTTTTATCGAGGATTTCCTTCAACTCTCCAATCAAATTTTTATCAATGCCAGAAATTAACAAATTATCTACGTAAACTAGCAAGATGATAATACTCTCTCCCTTTACCTTAGTTAAAAAATAGTAGTCATACTTATTTTCCTGGTATCCTTTTTTTTAGTAGAGCTTTAGTTAATTTCATGTTCCACTATCATGAAGCTCGTTTTAGACCGTAGAGAGATTTTTGCAGCCTACATACTTTGGACTCCCCTTGGCTGCAAAAGTCTTCCGACTGCACCATATAAACTTCCTCATACAAATCTCCTTGTAAAAAAACATTGTAAACGTCGATTTGATGCAAAGACCAAGCATGAATAGAAGCAAGTGTCAAAACAACTCGAATAACAGGAGAGAATGCTTTACCATAATCAATTCCCTCCTGTTGGGTGTACACTTTAGCAACAACGTGAGCCTTAAAGCGCTCCACATCGCCATTAGCCTTATACTTGACACCCATTTGCAGCCAATAGGTGTCTTATTAAATGGTAGATTAACCACATATTATGTGTTGTTAGTTTGAAGAGCACAAATTCCCATTTTCATAGCCTGGACCTACAAAGGATTTTGAATAGCTTCTAAAAAGGCTTTAGGCTAAAAAAGTGTGATGTAGAAGAAACAAAACATTGAGTGTGAGGAGGTAGGTGAGGGTAGGAGATAAATTGAGAGATAGTAAACTTACTAGAAGTAACAATGGATTGGTAGAACTGCACAAAATCATTTAATCAAGAAAAAGGCTTAGTAGACCTACCCGGTTTCCTTAAAGGAACATGAACATCAAAATTAGACTGAAAACCAGACTCAAGAAAACATTGAGACTCCAAATTTTAAGAATGGTCAGAAACAAGAGGTAAGTCTACAAATGTGAAGGAATAGGTGAAGGCAAATTTGCTACAGGTGATAAAGTAGACAAAGACAGAGAAAAATCAGAATCCAGCGTATGAAAATTAGAATCTGAAAAATTAGAGGACTGCGGAAAAAATAAAGAAGATTTTTCAAGTGGAAATCGAAAATGGAATATATCTTCATGAAATGTCACATCCATGTTAACAAAAACATTTTTTAGGCCAAGAAAAAAAATACACCCTTTTTATGTTGTAGAATAACACAAAAATAACACAAGTAGCCAAATATTTTTCATATAAGATTTTGTTTCTTAAGAATTTTCTCTAAAAAGATAGTATCCGCGCGGACGTGTCGAAGACACGTATTACCACGACACGTATTACCACGACCCGACCCGACCCGACCCGACCCGACCCGACCCGAGACGAGACGGACGGCGGCGGCGGCGCGCGAGAGTCCCCCTTGTTCTCTATCACTCAACAAGAAAGTGGGAAAACCAAGCCTTAAATACCATTCCCAATAGTGTTTCCAATACTATGTGGGATTTGAGCATTACCAACACTTGTTCCCAATACTATGTGGGATTGAGCCTTAAATAGTGATATTATTTTTGAATGTTTTGCTTAAAATTGCAATAATCGCGATTGATTGTAGATTGACTTTTAATTATGACATATTTAATCGTATAATACTAATGCAATTGGTTGCTGATTCAGTTGTTTTAAGGTGCATGATTGTTAATTGTTTCCTGAATAATCACATTGTATTGGAAACAAGTGTTGGTAATGCTCAATCCCACATAGTATTGGAAACACTATTGGGAATGGTATTTAAGGCTTGGCTTTCCCACTTCCTTGTTGAGTGATAGAGAACAAGGGGGACTCTCGCGCGCCGCCGCCGCCGTCCGTCTCGGGTCGGGTCGTGGTCGTGGTCGTGGTCGTGGTCGTGGTCGTACGTGTCTTCGACACGTCCGCGCGGATACTATCTTTTTAGAGAAAATTCTTAAGAAACAAAATATTTTTTTTAACTATCACAACGAATTTTCGCAACGAATTTGGAAAATCGCAACGACAACTGTGACTATCGCAACGACAACTGTAGACTATCGCAACGCGAAATGGAAAATCGCAACACGCCGCCGCGGATACTATCTTTTTAGAGAAAATTCTTAAGAAACAAAATATTTTTTTTAACTATCACAACGAATTTTCGCAACGAATTTGGAAAATCGCAACGACAACTATGACTATCGCAACGAATTTGGAAAATCGCAACGACAACTGTAGACTATCGCAACGCGAAATGGAAAATCGCAACGCGAAATTGAAAATCGCAACGCGAAATTGAAAATCGCAACGCGAAATGGAAAAGTGCAACACGATTTTCAACTATCGCAACGCGAAATGGAAAATTGCAACGCGATTTTCAACTATCGCAACGCGATTTTCAACTATCGCAACGCGAAATGGAAAATCGCAACGCGAAATGCAACGTGAATTTGCGATAGTGGAGATCGCAATGCGAATTAGAGATCGCAATGTTGGTCACTGAGGTTATTTTCTCATTATGTAGCACGCTGCTAAAATACATTCCCCCAAAAATTAATAGAAAATTAGATTGAAACCTAAGGGCCCTAGCCACTTCAAAGAGGTGTCTATTCTTTTTTTAAGGAACCCCATTCTACTGAGAGGTATGGACATATGAACATGACAGAGGCTGAAAATTGAGTTTGAACAAAGGTAAAAAACTATTTAAGGAACATGACAACTGTCGTAACCGGTTTTCGTCCGGGCACAAATTTTTTACTTGACGTGAAAAATAATGTGAATAAATGGTTTTGAAAATAATTTGGGAGTCGCCATCGGCCTTTTGGGTCAGGTAGGTCGAATACCTAAAAAATATCTTTTAAAAGAGTTTTTAAGAAAACATCAATTAAAAGATAAATTGATATGCGTTTAACCAAAAATTCATTTTTTTTATAAATAAAAAAAATTGTGGTCGGTTACGTTTAGGGAAGGATTAGCACTCCTACAACGC